ATATCAGTTATTCTGTAATCATATATGTGGGGAAGCTTTAGTAATTTATTCAATAAACAACAAAAACTGAGTCACTAACTATTCTGAACTAAAAGGCCATTATCCTCTCCAATTATCTACAAGAAATTTCTTCCATGATTTGATTTCAATTTCATAACCCTTGTCCGTCACTTCGTAGTCCACAATCTGTAATGAAGAAATTCAACTAATTTAACAATTCATAACAGGTGAAATATCCGAGTAGATAATCGCAAAGCAAAAGGGATGTCAAGCCTAATTAATAAAAAACCAAAGCTATAAATCTGCTGACTTTTCTTCTATGTAACTCAAAGAGTTTAAATAACATTAAAATGAGTTTGAGCAAGAGTTGTCGATCGGTCGCTTGCTTTTATTTAACCCCTAACCAAAATTACTTTTTTTACCGTACCTACTCTGAGACCTTTTTAGTCTAGTTCTTCTGCTTCAGCTCATGCTTGTAGATTTAGATGAACTAACCTCGTATCGTTCTACATCTGCTAAACTTTTATTATCCGCACACGGACCAATCCAAACATCTATGCAATCGTCCTTTTGAATCTAAAAGGCAATTCATAAAATCGAGAACGGTTATATTCAAATAATAATGCAAAGTTGTTATTTGAGAAGATGGTGAATACTAAGAGTCTACCAATAAGAAATGAATAAGATGTAAGAGTTGGAATAAAGAAAGTGAATAGAATTTTGCCTGATAATTTCAGTTCAAGTAGTGAGTGACTTACATTGTAAGCTTTTTTCGTTAGTGGTTCTTCGTTAACTCGCACTCGGCCGCCAAGAATAAGCTTTTCAACCTGCCTAAATGCATTTCTTCAAATCCTTCTGCTATGCGATTCGTTACAATCAACCTACGAGCTGCTTTTCCCGCTGGCTCGGTTTACAAATGTATCTAGTCGTCGGCTACCCGCCTTGATTGTTTTCAATTTGTAATCTTTTGGTAATCCATCATCTCCTAGTTCTTGGGTCCATACCTGAGTTGTAGTTCGGAAGGCACGTGAAAATATTCTGTTCCCATATCGGGGTAAAACACTGCTCAAGACTCCGATGGACATACCTTAAACGTTTCCTTCACAAAAATTTTATGGAGTAAAC